TTGGGTTCGCCTTACAGTTGAATCAAACAAACCATAAGAATATATTAAATAATGTTTGCGTTAATAGCGATTCAAACTTACAATAATCGAAAGATTCTCCGTAATTGTCAAAAGCAGCGAATAATATTATTTGGAAACTAATTTGAGCCACACTTATTAGAAAACTTGTTACTATTACAACTTTCACATAATAGCCGATACATCCTATTAATCCATTCAAATAAATTTTAATATAATCAGTAAATTGGTTTAATAAATAAGTATTGGATTAAAATAACACATTGTGTATTCTTTTTTAATATATCTTGTGAATAGTTAAAATAATTATTAATTAGATTAAAAACTAATATAATTGCAAATTAAAATTATTATTGTAAAAATTGTATTTGCTTTAAAAATATTAATAAATGTGAAAATTGTCATTTATAAATATTATTTTTTAAAATTCTTAATATTAATTGTTTGTGCCTGTCGTATGTCTGATTTAATTTTTATATTTATAAATTAGATTGTACATAAAATTTAATAATACTGAATACATTCATAAATATAAATAGAGAAAACACTTCTTTCTAAATTCTATTTAATTTTTAGTAAACTTTTAACGCTAGTTATCATACATATAGTATACATAAGATAAACAAACAAAAATAAACTTCAAATTTAATTTAATCATCAAAACATAGATCAATGATAAATTATAAACTAATTAAATACTGTAGTTTAGCATGAGAGAAAAAATATAAAAACAACTTATAGTGGTTTCGTGATGATATTTACATTAACAGATTATATAATCAATTTTATTTCATTTTAAATTTCAATATAAATATGCAAATAATAACACTACCGCTAAATTTTAACTAATTTTGCTCTAAATTTTATGAGAGAAAAAATAAGTGAGATAAATGTAAAGTTTTCTGGTTTGTACAATATATTTTGAAAATATATTTGCAAATATGAAAGACGATTTATTAAAAAAGGTACAATGCAAATTCATTGAGTGTTTAGTGTAATTAAAAGCAAAAGCTTTTCAATCGCAGTTTAGTCATTCAAAGTAATATATTTGTAATGTGTGAGCAATATAAGATATTAAACTCTGTATACTTTACATGTGATTTGAAAGCTTTAAATAAGAAATTATATATAAAAGATAAAGAGTGCACTATATTATCATAGAATAATACACTTAGAACCATAGGAACTAGAGTTATAACAAATTAGATTTAGAGAAAAGGTTTTTACATTATGATCAATACTATATCATACTATTATAACTTATTCAACTAAACTGTAATAACAAGAGCTGTAAATTCGGCAACAATTTGATTGCAAAGAGTATTATTGTGGGTTTGACCACTATATGACTTCATAATCATTAATAATATACCATTTTCAATAGATACCAGGCTTAAGTTACTGGGCAACTGGTGCAACCCTCGTGTGATTACAGGATCATTTTGTACGATTACTGTCTTATCACACAATGTTATGGCAAGTGATGAGTTCACTGAACAGCCCTTTACTCCCATTCTAACGGCACATCTCTATCAATATTATAAACATTTTTAGAAATTATAAAAGATTTACTTTTATAACTAATTTATCATCAATATATTAATGATTAACAGAACCGTAACACGTATTAATATTTTATTCATTAGAAAACTTGAGATTTGTGTTGCGATTATATATCATAATACACTTAATGTGTGCAACTCTATCATTATAATAATCTAAAACTCATAATTCTTGTCAAAACATAAAATAATTATTTTAAAATGCATATTTAGATCATTTGTTTTATTTTATCATTATAGTATATACATGTCCTTAACTACAGATACAGTATTACTGTATAGTAACGGATACATGTTTTAAAAAATCAATTATTGCTTAAATTAATCTTAATAAAAAACAAATACAACAGCATTACTAACTTATACTACATGTATACATCAAAATATATTTAAATTTATTTATAAACCTATAATATCGTAATATGTAGTAAATTATAAACTGCGATATTATAAACTATTTTCATAATACCATATTTCCTAAAATAGATTGTTAACTAGAGTGCACTGTATATGAATCATTGTAATAAATTCTGTAACAAATGTTGTTCATCAATAACATTTAAAAATTTGAGATTATCTAAAAAATAAATACTATAAAATTTAATAAAGTACAATAGTCTATTAGTCTGATTAGAGTACTAGAGTAGTTTATGCTTTATTTTAAAAATCCGTAATACGTTGAAAATTGCAGATAGGATTTGCACATTTAAATAGTAAAATATCCAGTAATTAATGAAATTAAGTACTGTAATAATCTATATTAAATACTGATATATTAAAAAGTGATAACATGTAAAAATAATGCAAAGTATTGATAGATGTAACAAAATATTAAAACATATATTTAATGAATATAGAATATTGTATAACTAAAACAGTTTATAGACGTCTAATATGAAATATTTGTGACTTTAAACTGATTAAAAATGTTTGGATATATGAAGTGATAAAATTGAAATGTAGTTCTCAACACTTATAAGTTATAACTTATAACTAAATATAAAAATATCGAGAGATCTCATCCATATGTCAATCCATCAAATCTAATGCTAGAATAGATTCTATACTTAAAACACACTTCTCTGTAATACAAGTCAACAATTTCTTTATACAGATATTAAGTTATATGAATTGAATTGTGGTCTAAATTATAGCGAAATTGAAAATTGACAGAAAAGATGTGTAAATGTATTTTGAGTTTACTTTAATCATAAATTCAATTATAAAATAACAATTCTCAATTCTTGACACTTTCGATACATTTACGATTCACTCAATCATTGCGTTAAAAGCAAAATATATAATGAATTGAAGCGATACACACGAATTGATTGTATTATTGAATGCATTGTTATATTCTGTAATGTATTGTATAATAGATTAAACTTTAAATAAATATAAAAATAATATAAATACAAAACATAGTAAAGGACTGGAAGTGAGACTGCATTCTTGAAATCCAAGGCAACCGTTCCTATGATTCGCCGCAACTTTTTATTAAAATTAATGCATAAAAACGAAAAATATTATATCCGAACCAATAAATTATTAATTTATTGAACTAAACATAAGATAAGATGTTTTTGTTTGTAAGAATTTTTCAAAATTAAGATACAGTCTTCAAAACTAAACTAAACTAAAGTTTAAATATATATAAAATGAGTTTCAATAAAGTTTGCATAATTAATAGGAATAATATGGTATATAAATTAAGTATAAAAAATTGAGAACTATATCAAAATTTGTCAATAGCTTACCATTAAGACCATCGAGAATATGAACTTAAAATAACGGAATCTTAAAGTTTGGTTCAATTCCATTAGGCGTGAAATTAACCAAAATTTATATATTAAAAAAAATTAAATCCTTAACTGCAATAAATAATTCAAATTTACTAATTATACGGCAAAAAGTGGTCAAATTGTTATAATATCCATACGAATAATTAGTAAATAAGTATAAGGGTTGAGATAATGCGACAAAACTTGTTTTGAAAGTATAGTAATTGGAGTGAAAGTTGTGTCAGTGATCAAAGATGCGATGCGCCGACAGTTTGTAAATGCAATCATTGAATGTAAATAAATAGTGTATTGGAGTGAGAATAGGGGCTAACTTTGCAAACTATATCATACAACGCATAACAGCTAACGCTATGATTGAATTGAGCGCAGAATTAACCATAGGATAGTCATAGAGACAGTCAGGGAATCGATGGCAGCCACTCCTGGAGGAAGAGAGCACTCATACAATATCTGATAGAAATTCAAACACTTTATTCAATCATTGGATCAATACGAAAGTCAATACAATATTTACAGTGAATGTGAATCATAGAAACCAAACAAATAAATTCTTTAAATAATAAATTACAGCTTATAATAAGCATTCATTGAGTCGCCGGAGTCTCAGTGCTCTCTTCTTGAGGCAAATCATTGCTTTCTTCAATCGGTTCCGACTCTGCTTTCAACGACTCTTTAACCAATTCTTCGCTATTTGTCTCATTGGTGTCCGTTTGTTGGCTATCATTCGAAGCAAAGCCTGAATTGCTATCAGTGGTAGCAGTAATGAGTTCTTTATTGTGGTCCACAGTCTCCGCTTCCGTTTCCATTTCTATATCCGTGTTCTGTGTCTCCTCTTTGGGCTCCTATACACACAAAACAACATTAAGTATTCAAACATTTCCAGTGTATTCAGTCAACAGATAATTCAAAATTTGTTAATAACTGATCCGTTAGTAATATACCTGTACTTAGTGCTGACAAACTGTTAATTATATATTTTATAACTAATACTTGGATAATATTTTCTACGGCTAATAATTTATGTCCACAACAAATGAGTGCTAATTTGTTCCCTTCACTGCTATACCTGCGATTCCTCGAGAGTGGACATGTGCTGGCTCTCAGTCACAGTCTCAGGGAGTGTGGCTTCTGGTGCTTCGAGGGGTACTTCGAGGGGTACTTCGTCGGCAATATTCTCTTGAGATTCTGTTTCCATTTTGTCCACTTTATCAGCGGTTTTATTGCTAGTGATCTGTTCCTCACGTAATGCGTGCTCTTTCTTCAACTGATCCAAAGCCTTGTCGACCATTTTGCGGAAAGTGTTGGCGTCCACTGCTTTGGTGGCGCACTTCTTCCTCACCTCCTCCTTGAACTGATCGCTCGCTTCAACGAATTTCCTCTTTTTGTGGACAAACTTCTCCTCAATCTGTTGCAGCTCTGCCTCCAACTTCTTCTGATGCATAGTCAGTGACTGGACCTGACGTTTAAGGACTTGCATTCTGGCGTTCGTCACCACAGACCTCACGTCCGGAACAATGGAATCACTGAAGATCTCGTTAATGAGTCGATGGTTGCGTTGATAGCGAGCTGTGGCCAAGTGTTTGACAGAGAACTCGTCGCAGTCGTCGTCATCGTCTGCGGACTGAAGGCATACCTTTCCTTCCGATTGCTTTTGAGGCGAAGGAAAGCCCTATCGGAAGAGATAAGCGAACCGTTAGTCTGAGTGATGAGTAGATCGACTGATGGGTCGACAACTGAGAGCTGAGAACAGAGCAAAAGCTGCAAAAACCAAAAAATATGCAACTCTTGGGTTAGACATAAGACTCGAGCGATTGTCTCTAGTGTTGAGAACTGAAGAACTGATTTAAGAACAAATCTCACCAACAAATTGGTTGTGTGTCTGTCGTGGGCAGGCGTTTGTCTGTTGTGGTCATCCAGAACTCGTTGAGCTAATCGGAAGTGACATAAGGATTAGACAATGGATCAGCTAAGGATTAGACAATGCATTCCATTCATGCATCGATGGATACCTTTGGCTTTGGCTGAGATCCACGACTGATATGCAGGAGAGTTATGGTAGGACTTAAGACAGTCATTGTATTCAACCTAAGCATAGGTCCAGAAGAAGATCCAGTTTAGCCACAAGAAGAAGCCATTAATGAAATGAAAGGCAAACCTTTTCGGCTTCAAAGGCTTCGATATACTCTTGTTTCTGGTCGTCGGCTAAGTCTCTCCACATCTGTCCTATGATTGAAGATCCACTTTAGCCACAAGAAGAAGCCATTAATGAAATCAAAGGCAAACCTTTTCGGCTTCAAAGGCTTCGATATACTCTTGTTTCTGGTCGTCGGCTAAGTCTCTCCACATCTGTCCTATGATTTTCCCGATTTCCCATAACTTCAGCTCTGGATTATCACCTTTCACTACATCCCACACCTAAGACAGACACACCGACAGACAGGTCACACACCGACACATCAGCCAATCAGCCACACCACCCCTCCTCCGGTCAGGCATGTCATGGGGTGGCAGTCGTGGCACTCATCACAATAGTTGCATATATTTCGTACAATTGCTTAAAGTATTGCTTATAGTATTGGTTCCCATTTGTCACTCAATCAGTCGACCACTGGATCAGCAATAATGCAAAAGCACTCACCTTTCGACTGTAGCGCATGTATGGCATCAACGGCTTGTCCGGTGGTTTCGGCGCTTTCGGCACCCGATGCTCACCCTATAGCACATCCAAAGACAAACACACATATCGTTAACATCACGACATCACCACAACACACATCATACTAACCATCATCTGCTGAGCTCTTTGGCCCAGTTTTGTCGGATTGAAACCCGGATGACTGTATTGCGAGGACACAAACGGTGACGCATTGGCGCACATCTTGTCTTCAATTCTTCAATGGATCCGTTCACCAGATGTACGACTACTTCAGTGTCTCATTACAGGATCAGATCATCAGATCACTGATCACTCACTCACACAAAGACATCGATTACTACTCACACACCGATATATCGATGCTACCCATCAGGTCGTACACCAATCACGTCACTCATAGACCATGTCATGTAAAATAAAGTAGCTTGTTCAATTGTTGAATTGTACATTTTGACAAATTGCACACAACTGTCAAGTTTTGATCGGAAATGAAGTGCAAATAATGTTCATTACAGCACCACTTGTTTCAGTGAATTCATGTAAACTGCAAATTGTGGCTTAATTGCACTCTTATTACGGTATTTGTTACTCAAATAAATGACACAATAAGTTGCAATAATCCGTTGTTTTATTAGAAACACTAACTTAAGTAACATTTCAGGAATTTCTTCAATAATTGTTTTCAAACCGCGAGGACAGGTATGTTAGCATTTGTTACAAATATATTTATTACACAAAACAAGCATTGTAATACCCAATGTATATTTACTTAATTGTTTACTTCACATACAAAATTGTTTTAAAATTGTGTGCAAACTTTTTGCAACGATAGCATAGAATTGTATAGAATTATATTTTATAAAATACACCATGTACAACCAATTGGCAACAATTTCTAAAACTTTAATTAGCCAATTGATATGACACCAATATTTTAATACAGTAGCCATACACATACTTTTTTCTATACGTATACTGTACTCATAATTGAATAATTAAAATAAAAATGTATGATGAACAGAATTGAACCTACTTCAACTGTTAGTCTATAAAGTTTTATCAAAGTTCACAAATTTCCTTACGATTTATTCTAACTGACTGTATAAAGAAGTTATTTTCTATTTATGATGGTTAGGGACTGATTACTTACAAGTTAGAAAATATAGTTTAAATTATGTATTAGACATTTTTCTATCAATCTACCGTAAACAAATTTTTAAAACAAACAAACTCTCTTAAACAACTTAATGATTATGCAATTGGAGAGAGAGAGAGAGAGAGAGGGAGAGAGAGAGAGAGATTGGTTGAAATGCAGATTTTGATTTGTTTGATGACTATATGCTACAGATGTCGACAATGTTTGTTGAATTAATGAATGGTTTGGATCCAAAGATTTGATTAATATTTGATTGAATATTTGTAAGGAAACAGACAGACAATGGATAATAGATTTCCAGTTCTTAAGAATGATCTGATGGTGAGGGCAGCGAATGGTGTGAAGACCGAGAGAGTGCCGGTTTGGGTGATGAGACAGGCCGGCAGGTATTTACCAGAGTTCCAACTCTTCAGACAAAAGCACAACTTCTTCGACATCTGTCGCTCCCCTGAGTTGGCCTCAGAGGTGACTCTAATGCCGATCCGACGTTTCGATTTAGACGCGGCCATCATTTTCTCAGACATTCTGGTCATACCTCAGGCCTTGGGAATGGAGGTGCAAATGGTTGGAGGCGTCGGACCCGTTCTGCCCACACCTCTCACTAAACCCGAAGACATTAAGACATTACTTAAACTTGACATCGATGTGGAGAAAGAGTTGGATTATGTGATGAAAGCTATAACTCTAACCCGACATAAACTGGAGGGTAAAGTGCCTCTGATTGGCTTCTCGGGCGCGCCGTTCACTCTAATGGCTTATATGATAGAAGGCGGCGGATCCAAGACATTGGCTAAGACTAAGAAGTGGTTGTATCAATACCCTGACGAGAGTCTCCAACTATTGGATGAGTTAACTCATGTTATCATCGCGTATTTGGTGGCTCAGGTCAAGGCCGGCGCTCAGTTGCTACAAGTGTTTGAGTCAAACGCCGGCTTTTTAGGCCCAAAACAGTTCAACGAGTTTTCCCTCCCATTCCTCAACAAAATCAGTGAAGGTGTGAAACAAGCCCTAAATGATCTGAAAGTTCCAACGGTTCCTATGATTGTATTCGCCAAAGACGCTCATATGGCCATTGAATCGCTCAGTCATTCGCAATACGATGTCATAAGCGTTGACTGGGCTATAGAGCCGTCGAGAGCGCGATCTTTGGCCGGCAATTCAGTGACTCTTCAGGGGAATCTGGATCCCTGTGCTCTCTATAGTGATGTCAAACAAATCGATCTTATGGTCAAAGAGATGGTCGAAAGCTTTGGAACTCAACGATATATCGCTAATTTGGGTCACGGGATATACCCTGATGTAAATCCNGGATATACCCTGATGTAAATCCCGATCATTTAGCCGTTTTTGTCGACTCCGTTCACAAATATTCACAAACGACTGACATTTAAATGCAATTTTAATACCAAATATTCTATTCGTTTAATATTATAATGAAATTTGAATTAAATTTAAAGAAATTACGAAAACAGAGCATAACTTTTAGACAAATATTTACATTATTTTTATATCTTTTGTGAAAATAAGTTTATATTTATATGAAATTCTAATCAAATCAGAGATAAGTTAAATAAAATAGAAATAAATGTTAATCAGAGTCCAAATGATTGGTCTTAAGAGGAGTTGGTTGGTGTCTGTTGTCCATCGTATGCGTTGTAATACCATTCGGCTGTGAATTTGTTTGGATCGTCCGTTTGGTAGGGATGGACGACAATCTGTTTGGTTCCCGCGGGCAGTACCTGTCCATTGGGTAGAGTGTATTCGTCTGATGAAGTCATTGTTGTCATTAAAGGTCGCGGTTGAGGAGGTGGTGGTGGCGGAGGGCTGTCTCCATCGGACACATCCATGTCATTGTGCGAAGTGGCGTTCACTCGAACCTTAACCTTCTGTTTACTTTGTGTCAATGAAAATGGAGACATATCTGAAGAGTCCGTTTGGTCTTTAGATTCAGAATCCAATCCCAATTCAGAATCAAAAGGCATGTCTGACTGAGTGGACGATATTAAGACTCCAATGTTTTGTTGACCGTCTGCTTCAGTGGTCTTATCTTTCATATCATTGTTTTCCTCATTAGTGACTATTTTATCGACCATTTGTTCGTTTGAATCATTTCTCTAAAAATGAGTAAAAATTAAATATAAGAGAAAATTGTAAAACAAAAATATACTGTCATTTACATCAGAAGTGAGGGTCGGATTGAGTTCCAAAGCCGAGGATTCGACACAAGATTGTGATTCCTGGCTCTTCGAGGAGTTTTCAGTGACATTCTCTGCACTTTGATTAGGAATCCAAGAATTAGTTGAGTCCAAAGTATAGCCCTTTTGTGTCATCCAATTAGTCAAATCAGTGGGATTGTAGTCATTACTGGTGGCCATCGAGTATTGGGCGTAATAGGCAGACGATAGTGTGGGATCGGGCGCCTGTGGGTACTGACCCAACGCATACATGGAACTCATATAATAATTGTAATACCAGTTGTAATCAAAATTCATGTCTAATTTCATGGGTTGCGAAACAAATGTGTTTTGTGTTGAGTCTGCGTTTGCCGTAACCGTCTTAGATCTCGTCAACCATTTCTTATTCGGCGGTATTTTCGCCGTTTGTGGCAATCGTTTGCTTCGATGCGAGTCATCCTTATCTGTGGTCTCTTTCGAGTCTTTGTTGGAGTCCTTCCTTTGTTTGACGCGTTCTAACAGCTCTTTAGCCGTTGTCTTCTTCTTGTCTTCACTACTCTTCTGTGAACTGTGTTTATCAGAGGAATGGCTGCTATGAGAGCGCTGTTCACTAATGTTTAGACTTATTTCATTCATTTTGTGATAACTTTCCGTTTCGTTTGTTTTACTGCTTTTTGTTTCATATTTTTCGGTTTCACTGCTTCGGTGGACAGGAGGAGGAGAACTCTTTTGGACTTTTGCTGAATAGTAGGCACTCATTGGCGCAGACTTGAGGTCTTCATGTCTTCTGTGGTCATCACTCGCGTCGACATATGAATGATAACTCTTTTTCTTCTTTTCAATGGCTCTCCGCTCTGCTGGAGTCATGGCCTCGAAATCATCGTCTTTTTTATCGTACAATTGTTTGACTAATTTTTCTCTCAGTTTTGTCTCTAAATCTTTCGACTCTTCACTTATGGCATGGCTTTCATAATTGGGATTCACTTCATCCATAAACTTCTCATATTCTGTGGTCAACTTCTCATGGCCTTTATTCTCACTTTCATTATCGATCCCAAAGTGTCGTATTCTTTCAATTTCTTCTACTATTTTATTTCTCGGTTCTTTGGTTTGCTTGAAATCGTCTGAATTTACAGTTACTTTCGGACTAATGCTATACTGAATGCTTGGCTCGCATTGCGTGTATTTTATCAAATTTTTAGGCCATTTTAGCTCAACTGGTGTTTCGCCCACTGAGAGGACGGTCACGAACTCTATTTCCGTGTCTTTCATTTTCTTCTTGTCTTCAGTCATCACTTTTGTCTTCTCTTTATTTTCCGATAATTTCTTATCTTTTTTATGTTTTCTAGACTTCTTTTTCTTGTGTTTTCTTCTCTTCTTTTTGCGATCTTCGGATTCACTCGTATCTGAAGAATCAGAACTACTAGAACTCGAAGACGACCTCCGCTTACGTCTCTTTGAAGACTTCTTTCGTCTCTTTTTCTTCTTCTTCTTCTTCTCTTTCTCCACATCAGAATCAGACGAATCGTAATCTTTTTGCTTTCGCTTCTTCTTCTTCTTGTCTTTGGCTTTGGTGTCCGTCTCGTCCTTCTCTACAGAAACCACTTTTTCAGCCAAAGTGTTGGTTTCGTACAACTTTTGAGTGGGAGTTAAACACGAGTTTTCTTTAGGCTTATCTTCGGTCTCAGAATCACTCGAAGTGTCGGCTCTTTTGGTTTTACTCTTTTTCTTTTGTGTGGACTCGTCTTCAGAACTCGAAGAACTTGAAACAACTTTTTTCTTCTTCTTTCTACTCTTCCTCTTCTTTTTGGACTTCTTGTCACTAACTTCCACTTCGTCTTCATTTTCGTGGTCTGATTCTGAATCAGAGGAATCACTAGATGTCGAAGAACTCCTTTTCTTTTTGTTCCTCCGTTTTTTGGATTTTCTCTTTTTATGAGAGGTTTCGTTACCACTAGAAGATGACTCGTCTTTCACTTCTTTGCCAGTCTTTTCGTGTCCGACACTCTCTTTGCTCACTAAATGCTTAGACTTGTCTTCGCTTTTATGAACGTCTTTAGTGTTGCGTCTCTTACGAGAGGACTCACTGTTCGCGTCGTCGATCACTTGCCAGCCCTCCCTTTCCAAGTCATAACTCAAAGTATGTTTCTTTGCTTCCATTTCACGAATAGAATTGAAAGTATTGACGAAACCGTGCTGTCGATTGTCGTCATCGATGGCCTCGTTGTTGGTGTCGAAGGGAATCATTTTCGACTTACTCTGCTTCTCCTCCAACATCGCCAAAAAGCTTTGAGTCAAACGCTTTTCATTAGACTTAATGTCCGAAGGCTTCAGTGTTTCAGAATTCTTCGAATCGTCGGCTTTCTCTTCATTATTGGTTTCATCTCTCTTATCGCTCTCGACGTGTCTTCGTTTAGGACTAACGGAACGACTTTGGCTTCGACTCTCGTGTCTTCGAGAGCCTCCGTAACCATACTGTGAATGATTTCCTCTGCCGTACGAACGAACACTTCTGTCGCGAAAACCGCGCGGATATCTAACAAACCCTCTGCGACCTCTTCGGTAGTCTTTAATGATTGGTCCGAAGTATGGACTTCGAGATCGCGATCGGGAACGAGAGCGTCGACGCCTTCGAGAGCGAGATCTGGAGCGCGAAACATATCGCTTACGAGATCGGGAACGGGATCGCGATCTGAGGGCACCGTCTTTTGGTGGCGAACGGGATCTCGATTTACTCGAATAGTTCCGTGAATTACGACCAGAATTGGTGACAGGAGTGGGTGGAGTGTGGGATCCATTGGTGGCACGTTTGGCCAAATGGCGCGGACTCGACGGGATTTGTCCCTCTTCTTCGTCATCATCTCTGTTACCATCTGTTGAGCCCTTATTGTCATCAGATCGCTGTCTTGCGAGCGCTTTGTTAATCAAATCTATAGGACGGGGTCTCGAGTTCTCTGCGCCAGTGCTCGCAGACTGAGAGAAGTCAGTCTCAGACACCGGTAATTCATTCTTATGCTGAAAGTGTTGATAATAATTGGCGTAATATTGATAGTATTGGTTATCACTGGCCTCGACATTAACTCCATGGGCGACCGATTGGCTATATATGGTCTCAGTGTTTGTCTTTGGATTAATAAAAATATGTTAATTAATGAGTAATAAAATGGATAAATAGTGGCAATGGATGTCAAGAAATGATGCATTTCTCATAACATACTGTATCTCATAAGACACTTAATGTGAATAAATTCGTGTTAACTGTAAACTTGTTGAAGCAATTGAATTGAATGAAAGGGTTGACTACCTGTGAGTTGTAGTCGTGATTATAGGCGTAATGATCGGCAAATTGTGACGAATTTGCGGCATTTTGATGGTCTCCTATACGATAGAGAAGCAAATGTTAGCTCATGAGTGGACAAACACACAAGTACCGGTGCTATACTGTGATTGTATTATAAAAAACAATTATTTGAGGGTTTATTTAATTGCAGATTTGGAGGAGTGATTCCAACTAATTATGGACAGCATTTCATTACATTATGAGATACATTGGCCTAAATATAGGGCAAACATATAGTAATTGCAATCAATTTCGTGTCTCATGTATTGTCAACTTTACCACATTTGTCAAGTAATCGGGACCTGTTTTAACGTTTCAATTGCTTTTATCATCCGATTTATACAATCATTTAAATCCAATTCATTAATCATAATCTCTGTGTTTATTAAATATTCAATACTTTATATTAAAGACTGGTTTTCGAGGACTCAATCAGTCCTTGCATTCATAGCTTACCTGAACTTAATTGCTCTATAAATCAAATCAATTCAACATTTCATTAAATCTATTCAAACAAATCACACACAGGTGCGAAACAATACCTGACACGGGGTCCACCCAACCAACTGTCCCGCCGACCACTCCCACCATCCCTACTGGCGCCCCACCGGCGACCCCACTCTCGCCCCCACCCGTCACACACATGGAGGCGCTCTGCAGGCAAACACATAGGCATAGGTGTGATTGGGCACAAACACACAGTCATCGGCGGTCTGCCATGAGATACATACCTCCGACACGTGTCCCGACATCAGGTCCAGTGATGGCTCACTCATCGATCGATGCAAATGTGATTCAATTGTCGTATTAATCGGTGTTTATGTCATAAACATAACAATCGACACAACAATGCATTTCACTCTCTATTCACTAAAACACTATGAATGCGATTCACTGCAAACGTAGAGCTCTGCACAGCAAACCACTATAAGTAGAGGTGAGTGCAGGCATTCAATTAGTGAGTGTATCATAGGAATTGATTGAAATGAACAGGGATATTTATTCATACTTACTATACAGTGGTTGTAGATTGAAAATAGAGAATTTTCAAAATTGTTATATCATATGCTATAATATAGTATACTGTAGTACTGTAATACAGTCGTGGATTATATTTTAAAAAATCATTTAATTTGACCGTTTATTGTTAATAATTTTTACATAATCAATAGTTTTTAATAAAAACTTTTTATCCACTTTGAAATACTTTTTTAAGTGCTGTATATTAATTTACGAAATATGCTAAATATATTTAATGTCAGACTTAGTAATAAAAATATTTTAAATTAAAACATTTGATTACGAGATGAATGAATAAACTGTAGATTTGGTCACAAATTGGCGATTAATACCACTGTTAGACACAAACATATAAATGATTTCCTCAAACATGAGTTGATTTTTGCGAAAAAGAGAGCAATTCTTAGTGAACTCCTCGTAAAACATATGATAAAGTAATTGAAGAAATAAATGAAATGAATGAAAGAAATGATAGTTTGGTTCAAAAATTAAAATTTTTAATTAATAAACAATAGTTTAGTGGAAGTGATTGATTGGAATGTAAAGGGATTATAGGTTTGGGATAGGATTGAGGTGACAGTCATTTGGCTTTCTTCTTAGTGCTGTCCCTCTTCTGTTGCTTCAGTTTCTTCTTCTCCTCCTTCTTCTTCTCCTTATCCATCAGACTTTGGATGAGTTTGTAAAAGAAAAATCCTGTCAAACAATTCATTCAATTATTCATTTCAGTTCACAAACAAATGCAAAGCGATTGAATGGATAGTAAATAATTACAAGTAATTAAAAAATAAGTTATGTTTTGTTGGCATTTAAGTGATGAATGAATACCTAATATAATGATAGGAATGAGAACCAAAAGCAACAGTAAACTCATGTCTTTATGTCTTTCACTTAATTAATTCAATTCATAAACTTTTCTTAATATTTTAATATTTATTGAAAATATGATTAAAACTGAATCGAAAGTTGAATTGAAGAACACGTTGTACTAAATATGTGTTAACTTAACATAACTTATTAGAAATTAAGGCATTCAATGACCTTAACATCACAAATGCAAACGTGTATTGAATTTAACACAAACTCTATTACTATCGATACTAACAGTTACTAAATGCGATAACAAATCATTACTCAATTGGACGACAATTCATTGAAAACGACTATTTATGTGGTGTTCATAGTATCCAAACCTCTAATACAAAACACTAAATTTTCTGTAAATTCAATTATACGGTAATAATAATTCATAATCGAGTGATGCATTTGTAAAACACCTGTAATTCTTGTCATTAATTTCATGAATACACACATCTTTACAATATAGTTGACACCTATAGCTATACATGTCATCCCAATCATACACTCTATAATTATCGTACAATTTAGGCTAAATGGTAACTGTAAGGCACCGGTAGGCCAGGTATGCATACCTACGAGCGTAGCGGTGATGAGTGCGGGCACAATGAATACCCAATTACTGAACCCATGCTCTATAGGTCCGCCCGACTCGGGATTACCGGATAAGTCGACCATTGCTTCACTTCACTCACCACTCAGACCATCGACTTATCCACTGATGGACTCAAATGACAATACGATTACAATTAGCAGCTCTTCAGCGAACTGAACAGTCTAGTGATGTGTTTGACACTAACCCTCTCTATTCACACCACTTCTCCCACACCTTCACAACCAATTCATTCTCGCATTCATTTCATTTGTATCTCATTTTCTAACGTTTATATGAAACCAATAAATTGAGTTAATCTCATCAATGCTATTATTTGCATCAAATGCTAATTATATGACATTTATATTCATATGTTTTAATATCGAGACTAAACTGTACAGAGTTTGAGTATTTCCCAAACTCTATGAACACATCATTCAACTATTTACTGCTTAATTCATAAATCATTAGATGTAATCAAATAATCATAATTTCATGTAAAACATTATGGCAAATAATTAGTGCATATCATATTTCATAATTATTTTATGTTCAATGTTAAATAGTCTTGTTAAAATATAGAAATACAAATAAATATGTAGCATGCACATTTTGTAATTTCTAAATATTAATGTATTGCAAAGGCAGTTGATAATATAAAGTATATGGCTAATATTGTATCATTGTTCTTGATAACTTAAATGAAGTTTTGTTGTAAATTGATATGTAAATCATGAATTAAGGCATAAATTATATGGATATTAATCTTAACGATAAAGAGATTGGCATTAATTTTGATGAGCAAATAGAGTGGAGTGGTGTCGACAGTGCTATCTATAGGTGAGTGTGAGTACTGCTAACGTAATTGATGCCCGGTTTGTATGAATAGGACTTCCTTTTCCGTTATGAGTGACTCTAAACGTGTTTAACATATAGTTTGGGATCACTTTGAAATCAGTTTAATAGATAATTAATTGGTGTCCAAGTGTCTGATCCGCGAGAATGGCTGTCGGAAAGAACAAGGGTTTGGCGAAAGGAGGCAAAAAGGGCGTGAAGAAGAAGATCGTGGATCCGTTCACTCGTAAGGAGTGGTATGACGTGAAGAGTCCGTCGATGTTTTCGGTGCGAAATGTGGGCAAAACTCTGGTGAACAAGACTCAGGGCACGAGAATCGCTTCCGAGGGACTCAAGGGTCGCGTCTTCGAGTGCTCGTTGGCTGACCTCCAGAACGATGAGATCGCGTACAAGAAGTTCCGACTCATCGCAGAGGAAGTCCAGGGGAGGATCGTATTGACCAACTTTCATGGCATGGATTTGACAACTGATAAGTTGCGCTCAATGGTCAAGAAGTGGCAGACCCTCATTGAGGCTAATGTGGACGTCCGCACCACCGATGGCTATCTGTTGCGCTTGTTTTGCATCGGATTCACCAGAAAATGGCAAAACCAGGTGAAGAAGACCTCGTACGCACAGCACACGCAAGTGAGACAAATCCGCAAACGTATGACTGACACCATTCAGCGTGAAGTCTCCTCCAGCGACCTCAAGGAAGTGGTCAACAAATTGATCCCCGACTCGATCGCTAAAGACATCGAGAAGTCGTGTCAATCGATATACCCTTTGCATGACGTGATGATCAGGAAAGTGAAGGTTTTGAAGAAACCTAAGTTTGATTTGGGAAAACTGCTCGAAATCCACGGCGAGACCACTAAAGGCACTGCCGCTCCCGTGGCCCCCGGAGAGGAGCCCATGAAAGTGGACAGACCTGAGGGATACGAACCACCCGTTCAGGAGAGTGTCTGAACACCGCTTGTAATCAACTCTTATAATGAAATCTAATAAATGTTTTTGAATTAATTGTCTTTTCATTTATTTAATTGAATTACACTCCAAGTGTTTACCCCTTTTACCGGTCTTAGTCTTATTATTGCCACAAATTCATGTTTAATTAATTTGAGTGTAAAGTTGTATAATACATGAGATTATAGGGGTATAGAGAGAAGTCGCACCAAACGTATGTTTAGTGCCATTGTAAACAATTAAACCTTAATCCTAATAACATTTACCCCGATCATAGTACGGTAATACTGTATCACTTTCTGGTTGAATAGCCTTTTAATCACATTTTCCACAATTTGAGACCTGTTTATAGGGTTATCCATAAGTGATGTATAGATATGTAGTCAAATGTGTGACCCCTTAGTGCAGAATCTCATAGAAAAGGGATTTTATAATAATTGCATTCATTGTTAGTATTCTAGCAAAAGGTGTGAAAAGCAGACGATTCGTTCATTGCATTCATTACCGGTTCTTAGGATTGCATTCATTTAGACATCTATTTCAGTCATAATTGGCTGCCATTGGGATGTCGTTTAGATCTAAATCAAAGCCCTACTCATCGGCCAGAGGTATGTCTTGAGACAAATGGTGTCCATTGACTGAAATATGTGCCAAAACAGGTCAACAGTCGTCCTCTTCAGACAAATCCTTTCAAATCAGTAGAACTCGATTTGTGTCGATATCTGAGTTCAGGGGTCAGACCCGAGTGGATGTGCGCGAGTTCTACACCGATGACAACGGCGACCAAAAGCCCGGCAAGAAGGGCATCAGTCTCTCGATGGATGAGTGGAACAAATTGGTGTCGCTTTTGCCCAAAATAGACAAAGCCATCAAAAAAGTCGACGATTCTGACGATGAGTCGCAAGACTCTGTCGATCGCAACAAACGCTCCAAGAAGTCCAAGGCATCTGATTCTGATTCAGACGATGAGTCCAGTCGTCGCAAGAAGTCCAAGTCGATGCCACAGAAAAGCAAGAAATCCGAGTCCGACGACGATTCGGATGATGGCATCAAGAAGTCGAAGACATCTAAGAAATCCGATTCCGACGACGACTCGGATGATGGCCATAAGAAATCAAAGAAGTCGAAGAAGGCGTTGTCTGATTCAGACTCCGATTGATTCATGTATTACTCATTCCGGGATTTATTTTATTTTTATCATTTAATGAAGTTTTGTATCATTTCTAGGATTCAATCACTTCTCCACACATCTCCTCATTATTTGTGGACAAAAGCAGTATTTTATTATTTGTTTCATTCATTTCTATTTGATTTTTAATTCAATTCTTAAACAAATATCAGACGACTATCATCTAAATAGCTGTCAAATGCATTTATTATTTCATTCACTAATCCTGTAGTTCTCAATACAATTGTAATTTATAACAAATATGGGATCAAATAAACAAAAATTTTAATCAAATCAAAATCATTTTTATTTTAATGATTTCATAAATATAGGATTAATTGAAATTTGATATATGAATGAATTACATACAGTATACAAACAATTTTATTAAAAATAAACACAAATCAACTAAAGGTAAAGACTTGCGGCGAAAACAATGTCACGTTTTATTAGTTTAATGGCTTCGGAAAACTTGTTCTCGAGATCTGTATTCCCAATAACTTTGGCGGACTGACACATTTGGCGCAACAATTCCTCTAACCTTCTCATACACCGAATGATTGAACCCTCAAAAGCGTCAGTCATTTTGCATAACTGTGCAAAAGTGGATCCTTTAGCCCATGAATAGATCACATCCATTAGGTTTGGCTTAAATTTTTCAATATAAACATTTTCGTCTAAATCTAGTTTTGCTTCAATAGAAACGGTTGCTATCCTTTTGGCCAACTCTTGCATTGTTCGCAAGGGTTTCGCCAATTCATCCGTCAGTTTAGGGATTTGTTGCGTCTTCTCCTCGAATACAAAACAACTCAAAAGTGCAGAAATTTGGTAAACGTTGAGGTCATTGAATACACCGTTGAATAACATTTCTGTGAGCAGTAATTCATCGCCGCTTTGGGAAAGAATATAAAATGTTAACCAATTGAACAAACAATTGAAAAACAATTGATTCAATACCTGGTTATCTCACAGGCGACGCGTCCTTTGATTTCGATCACATCAGCGGCCGTACAATAGCCGAGACGTCTGAGGACTCTCTTTCTGCACTTCAATTCATTCATTTGTAGCAAACTCTGGGCTTTCTTCACGTCTTGTCTCACTTTCTTCATCTCTTCCGATACTTTGCTCTTCTTTTCAAACAATTGAATGGCATTCGAGTCGATTGCCTTAAATTCGGTGAACCTCTTCTCACACGATTCAATCTTTTTAACAATCGATTTAAACTCTTTGTCTTTAATCTTCATGTCTTCGATCGGATCCAATAATGGAATGTTCGCCACTTTGTCTTCGCCCGTAAAGCGATTCTTTACTTCAAAAATAGACTTAAGAACTGATTGTCTGTTATCGACATTCCGTAACTCTTGTGGAATAAATATTCTGAGAGAACTGATTTGTGTGATGTTTGTCAGGGAAATGGTTACGACTCTCATCTCTCCCTTCTCTCCAGCATTTGGAGGGACTATGACATCGCTTTTAGTGTCAAAATTTTTGGTTAATTGTAGCAAAATATCGATCGTATATACAGTCGACTCTTCAAGAGACGGATTCCGAGAACGACTTTTAACTACTTTTCGGTTAAAATTAACGACTGCTCCCCAATCCATGTCAAGCCCTTCATTGGACACAACCTTCAAGTATATAACAAGTAAAATGTTAAATGTGTCATAGATTTGGGTTCAAATGAAATACAATTACCTTTAAAAGACGACCCGAAACAAGGAAAGGGATAATGTATTGAGGGCTTGTTATGTATCGTAAGAAATCTTGAGATAAATTACTTAATTGTGTTTTGACTTTAATATATTCGCTAACATTATGTTCATCTAAGACACCGATAGAATCATATTCTTTCTGAAGGTCTTCTAAGTCTAAAGAATTGAAACCAAATGTTATAAAAATCATTTAAAAAATACTAAATTTAGAACAAACTTTGTTGTAGTCTTGGATATTGAGAGTAGTGTTGGAACTGATAAAAGCTGTGTTGAAGCATATATTCGGGATTCACTTCTTCGACTCGAAGTAAATTCAAAACCATATTATAAGTCAAATGAAAAGCGCTGTTAAGGAAGTCGGGCTTCCCTTTAATCAACTCTTTGCCAACCGATGGACTCATCTTCTCGTCAATCATGAGAATAACGATTCCTCTCTCGTCTAAACCTCTTCGTCCGGCTCTACCACTCATTTGTATGTATTCGCCTGAAGTAAGCCATCGGAAGTCTGTTCCGTCAAATTTGCGAGCGTTTGTGAAGACAACAGTTCGCGCCGGCATATTGAGACCCATTGCAAAGGTCTCGGTTGCGAACAAAGCTTTAATCAATCCTTCGCTGAATAAAATTTCAATCGTCTCTTTAATTATAGGCAGAAGTCCCGAGTGATGGATACCTATGCCTCGTCTCAAAAGAGGCAGTATGTGCTCAACCTATACAACAATATTACGTCATGTCAATCATACGGTACTAATACTAGTCTTGCAAACGGCAAACCTGTGGCAACTTCTTGTCCTCATCGCTAAGCACATCAATAGCATTATTGAACACTTCTTCAACTAATTCTTTCTCTTCATCTAAACAATAATCAAATCAATTCAATCTTTTCACATCCATTTCATATCAAATTTCTTACTTGAATTGAAGTCCAATTTACTCATCTGTAAGGCATAGGATTCGCACTCCTTTTTGCTGAAACTAAACACTATAACCGGCGCTAAGTTTCTCTCCATTATTGTCCGGATCACTTTCAGGCAATTGGATTCGCCTTTAAATTCATACAAATTAAAGTTATATTCATTAAATTATAACCAATAAGAGGCATACCCTTCATGCCTCCCTTGCGACCCCTCATTGCAAAGTCTCCTTTAGCGGCGTCGCCAGCGTTTTGCAAGACATTCATCGCTAGATTGAAGTTGTCTTCTCTAAAATTGCTGTTTTCGTCGACAACCAAATGGAGGCCATCGCCACCCGACGGGTATATATAGTGCTGGAGAGGGACGGGTCTGTAATCAGTGTAAACTACATGACATGACTGCTGATGCAAGTGAGCGATCCATTCAGCAAACTGTCGGGCGTTGGGAATAGTGGCCGATAGGAAGACATAGTGGACGGTATCGGGCAATAAGATGATGGTCTCCTCCCAGACGACACCGCGCTCTCTGTCGCGCATGTAATGGATCTCATCGAAGACAACCCAACCCACTTCACGCATTATCTCACTGCCGCGGAACAGCATTAACCGCAAGATCTCTGTCGTCATTATAAGACAAGAAGCCGTCGGGTTTATAGTCACGTCTCCTGTGATGAGACCCACGTCTTCGAACTCTTCGTGGAATTCCCGGTACTTCTGATTACTCAACGCTTTAATCGGTGTCGTGTATATCACTCGCTGTTTGTCCCTCAAAGACATGGCGATCGCATACTCGGCCACAACTGTCTTACCGGCCGAAGTGTGGGCCGACACTGAAATATCAATTAGTATACAATTAGTAAACAAATCAATAAAACAACAAATCATTCAATGAATGAATACCTAAAACACTTTGATTGTTATCAATGCAAAGAATGGCCTCTTTCTGGAAGGGATCCAAAACAAACTCATACTCTTTGGCCGGTTTCTGATTGTCGGTGTTCTCTCTGAGGGCCACATATTCGAGACCAACTGGAAGGACAACTTCGTGAAGACACGATCCCTTGCCCTCCAGTTCGTGACACACAGTCTTCGCCACTAATTCTTCACTTTTCTCTTCAGGCTTTTCAGTAGTTTCAGTGTTTCCTTCATTTTGGTCATCGATTTCGATGACTTCCACTTCTTGGACACCTTTCACTTTCTTGGACTCCTTGTCTGAGTTTTGGACATCAATTACAGAATTTATTAATTCTTCGCATTCTTTCTCTTCTGATTCATCGAGTTTTCGTTTCTTCGGTGCCTCACAAGCCGTCGACTCAAACACATCAAACAGATCCATGTCTTCACCACTTCAATGCGAGTCTGTTTGTGACACCAATTGTGAGAAACATGTGACCATTAAATGGCAAACAATGAGAGTCTATGTGACAGTCTGTGATGTGAAGATGACCCCTACTGTCAGCCAATGGGAGGCCGTTCTCACTGTTTGCCTGCAATTGAAATGAATTTGAAATTGTCATTCAATTTGGCATTCATTTGGGATTGAATTGCATTCAAATAATTGTTTATGTATTTGATATATTTGTAATCATTTGTCAATAATGTATGCACTGTGGGCTCAATGAGTGCAAAATGTATGTCATTTGTAAGTATTCAATGAATTACTGTTACGGAAATGCATGCAATCTATTCTCTACTTTCAAGTTATTTATTAATTGATTCAATTTATTAAACTATTAATTGTGATCATTAAATATGACAGCATGCACTCATTCATTACCTTGCCAATTTTCCAAAAATAATGCACATGTAACATACAGTACTTATTTGGTGTGACTCACGCTGCGTGAGAAATGTGTCAAGCTACATTTCATACAGTAATTCATGTAAACTTTTAAATAGGATATTTTTGCAATTTTAGTAATAATGTACCTGATAGTATATATACTTTGAATACAAGTATTATACAACTAACGAGTAAGATATTATTTTTTGTTTCTCAGTTATAGGCTATAACTTATAGACTACAAAATTTAGTAAAAAGCAGTCAGTTTTACCTTACACATTTTAATAAGCTGTATTGAAATACTGTAATACACTGTATTGAATAAAGTATTTTCATTTTACCATTTATATTTTAAATATATATTTTTAAATTTATAATTTAAATTTTATAATATTGTAGTTGACAATACTTTATACTGTACTAACAAGAATTTTGACCTTAAGCGTATAAAATAAACAGTATTTAAATTAACATTAATTATTTTTCAAAATGTTAATTACAATTAAAACATAAGTTTTAATACTGTATTGAGAACTGTGTTCTAACTGCTATGTTATCGTAACTCATTGGCCATTCATTGTAATATACCAAGTTGATTAATTGTAACTTTGTGGCAGTTAAATAGCAAATTGACCAAAGTGACTAAACCGACTAAACTGACCAGGCATAGTGAGGTGACCTACTGGAGAGAGTATCTTATATTACATGTCATGCGTGTTCTGGTGGTGCAGTCAGTGGTGTTCAGTAGCGTTGAGTTTATTGTTTACTTCACTGTCAATGCATTGACTGACTATTGATTTGTTGTGTTTTCGGTTATAATCACTATTATTGCTGTTAATTATGTTTTTATTATAATTAATAGCAATTACTTCACTGTTTCCTCATTTAATCCATTATTTATGCTTTTGTTTGCAATCGAGTTAATCATGAAATCAAAATATTTGTAGAAATAATGAAATGAAATGAAATCAAAATGAGTTGAAAATGAAATGTCAGACAATTGTATGGATTGATTGAGTGAGAGATGGATTGAGATGTTGTCGGTCTGTGACCTCAAAGTGTGTTTCTCTTCCATCGAGTTCTCCCTCTTCTTCCAACAGAGTTGTCCTCTTTGTCCCAATTGTGGACAACTCTTAGATAACAACCCCTTCAGCGAAGGTTTTTCTCTATCAATACTTTCACAATAATTATCTCATTTTATGTGTATTTTCAGTGAAATTCTCGTCACTCGTAGTACTTCTTGGCGTGGGATCTCTTATATGCTATAAATTGATAACCAATAAGAAGAAGAAAAGAGAGAAAAGACTTCCGTTTGGTTTCGCTCGAGCAATAACTCGTGAGGACTCGCAAGAGATGAGCTCATGTGACAAATCCAATGCAAGCCTCAAATACAAAGTCTTCACTTCGACTCCATATGTCAAGTGGTGTCCAACCGTTGACTACACGCCTTCTCTCTCATCAAACGCATCCGATTTAGTGTTTAATATGACTGATAGCTATGATTACGACTCTTCAGTTCGGACGCCATCGCTGCAAATGATTGGCACCAATACTGTCGCCAAATTAGATCTGCTTTTGGATCAAATAGAAGACATAAAGCGCTCTGTTTATGAAATCGATGAACAGATCTTTGATGTGAAGGACTCTAATGTGAAATTTGAGTCCAAAATGTTTAGCTTAGGGCCAGACATGAGCTCAAGTCTGGCCACTGAATCCGATCTGAACGAGAAATTCAATTATTGTATGACTGAACCACAGACGCCTACTCTGGAGTGGGATTTGACGGATTTGAATGTTGTTAATGAGCACAACAATAGTATAATGAATGACAAGCTATTGGTCTCATCATTAAACTCATCATCAAATCATTTAAATAAATCATTTAATCATAAATTAGCAAATTTAAGCAATGAATCCACGATTCAATTATCAAATCAATTGGAACCGCAATCTCCACAAGCATTGTCTTCTCCTCAGGACTTGTCTCCACAAGACTTGTCTTCCCCTTTGACCTCAACTTCAGGCGAATTCTCGACCACATCCTCACAACAACTCCCAAAAGACAATAATCTGATTGCAATCCAACGGATGATAAGCGACGCCAAGAAATTGGGTCTTTTGGATGACTTAATCGATATTCTCATAAAGAACTCCAAAAGAGATTCCGCTTATTTTGAAGACTAACCGTTAGATTAATGCCTTATTTGCGGACATATTATTATTTTTGTGAAATATATGTACATGTATTCAGAGTTACTGTATATTTTAATCATTATTTAACGTAACATTTGTTGAGAAAACAATAAAATATTTTAATTTTAACTCAATTTATCCTTTATTTATTTCATATATGATATACAGAT